TATGACGCAATGCCAGGACGTGCGCTTCCGGTTTACAACAAAACATGGCGGCGCCAGACGAATCGGCCAATCCCCGCGCGGAGTGTCTCGCGCGCCGGAGCGTGGCTCTATCTGCCGGCGGTGGCGGCAAACCGTTGGGCGCATCCGCGCACTCTATGCTTGTGACACTCCATTTCTCCCCCCTCGCCCCTCCCACGTATATACATATATATACACGCGCGCACACATCGCCTGTACGTGTACCTAAATCCCGAAACGAAAAACATCGGCAGATGGCTCGAGATCTATGTTGATGATTAATAATCCCCACGAGTCTGAGAAATTGATGGTAGCCGAGCGGCGGAAAAGGAGCGGAATAGCTACGGCGCGACGGCGGCCGCGACGGCAGTAGCGGCAGCGACGACGACGACGGCGAGGACGACAGCGGCGGAGGCATCAGCAGTAAGTGCCGAGGGAGTACCGAGGCCGACGTGCGGCTTGGCACCCGACCGGGATCGCTCCGATCGCTATCGCTAATCGAATTTCGTCGTCTCGGCGTCGCGCGCGCGAGCGAGCGAGCAAGCAAGCAAGAAAGCAAACGCGCGTGCGAAAAAGAGAAGGAGAGAGAGAGAGAGAGAGAGAGAACAAGATAGCGGCCCCGTTCGTCCCAGTGCGCGTCGGAGTGGCTCGGAATATGGCGTTTGTTTCGGTGCACGTTATCGCACCCGCGCGGGACACCGCCGCCCGCTGCAGCTGAATATCCCGCGGCGTCCCGCGAGAGGATCCACCGCCGCTCGCAGCGAGCACGAGGGGAAAAGGGGGAGGCGGCCGTGCCAGTATCTCGCCCGCGGCCCCCGTCCATGTCCCCGGTGGTGGCCGCCGCCGCGGTGGCCACCCTCGCCGTGAGCGCGCGCGCGCCGAGGCGCGCGAGTCGCCGCCGCCGCTCGTCGCCGACGACGACGACGACGGCCACGAGGGCATAGGGGATTGCGTCACTCGTCCGCGCGCCAGTATCACCCGGGCGATGCCGAAGAGGACCCACGAGACGCCCGCACAATGACGTCCCGCAGTTACACCAAGTCCTACAGCCGCAAGGTCAGCAGTGTAACGCCCGGCAGCATCCAGTTCGACAAGCTCTTCCGCGAGAACAGCAACCGCCCGTCCGCCGCCAAGTCCGCGGGCACCGTCGGCAAATGGGGCATAACGTCCTTCACGTCCATCAGGAGCACGAACATCAACGGTACGCATCGTCGCCGCTGCGCTCGCGTTTCAGGCCCAAGTCCGTTGCGCGATCGCAGCTTTGTAAACAAATCGGATTCTGGCCGGACTGCGCGTCGACTGTCACACTTTTGTCACGTTGATACTCGTACTTTGGAAACGAAGCTACCGTGGCTGCAACTGAGAGAGAGAGAGTGAGAGAGACGCGGAGGGAGATTGTAATCGTCAGGTTCTTGTATCTTGGAACAGCAGCGGCGTTGACCTTGACGATAGCGCGACCGTGACGGATTTGACAGAACTAGAGTTGCATTTTTCCCGCGAGTCTCACGGAGACAGTATCGTAGAAATTACTGTGCACAATCTATTTCTGTAACGTAAAAAATGATAGAAATTGGCGGGGGTTTATTTTTAGAAGCTGGCACAATCGATTGATCCCGCGCCAGTGATATAATTTCAATGTTAAACGGGAATTGTACCGCATATGGCACGATCTGATCTTGAAGCCTGAACATTCAATGATTCCACGAGTACGATATATGTATACAAATGCCACAAGTACGAGATTCTTGTGTTTTACTTGTGGTGGTTGTGCACAAACATATTTGATTTTTAGTCGCAGACAAGACATTGAAAGTGGAACAACGAATCCATGATTCTTTATAAGACACATAGACCGAAATTTTACAATACTGACATTTATACTTTGGCTGATCCCTTCTGTATCTGCCAATATGGAATAGGATTGACAAAAGCCGAATTTTAAACAACAGTGACGAAATGACATTGATCTCTCCACGAAAAATGGGATTGTTCTGACTTTCAATTTATACAAACAAACGCTGAAGAAGACAAAGTAATGTCGAAACGTTCATTACACATACCGTTAAATTAGTAACTATTTTGTATGTTAAGACTAATATGATAACACATTAAATGTTAAAAATCTTTTAAAATCATTGCTCGTGAATCTATTGGGCCTATTTTAATTAAAAATATTTTATTTTGTCGTATCTTTACACGTAAACGAAGAGACATTTATATGAAAACGCTTTTTCATTATTAATCAAAATATTTCGTCACGCAGAAGTGATAATCGCGAGGACGCTCTAACGATGCGTTTAAAATACTGTTAAAATTGTTTGACAAACCGTCCTCGGTTCTTCGCCGACGGCGGGAAGACACGTGATGATGCTGTGACGAATACGTCGAGCACAACATTGTAGAATTGTTCCGTTTTCAGGTCGGAGAGATGATATACATAGCTTCGGCGCGAAGAGGATGAAGCTCGATTATGGGAATCAGAACCGCGTGAATCCCGGAAAGGATCCGTTCTCCTTCGACACCGACCCGGACAACAACAAGTCGGAAGCGTCGCCGGCGGTGGTCAAGCCGAAGAAGTTCTTCAAGAGCCGGAATGTCCCGCCTGTGGTGGACGAATCTCGCCAGGATGTGGCAATTTACAGACAAGTACCTGATTCCCAATACGGGAGGGCCCGCGCCCCGAAGCAACCCCCGCAGCAGCCGCAACAGCAGCAGCAGCAGCAGCCGCAACAGCAGCTGCAACAGCAGCAGCAGCAGTCGGTCATAGTGAAAGCACCAAGTAAAAAAGTAATAGAGAGTTTAGATAGCGCCGCCGACCCTCCCGGTCGGGAGGAGAGCAAACCGCCGATCGTGCTGAGAATATGCAAGGGCACGGCGCGACTGGTTTGCGGGGACGTGCATCAGGACGCCCAGGAGTCGCCCGAGCCCGATACCTACCGGATTTCCACTCCCCTCGCTAGTCCCTCCAAGGTAGACGTCGAGCGCAAGACCTTCAACGCGGAGACGTCGCTCAAGTCCGATCACAGGTCCCTGCGCGCGCACCAGCCAGTCATCTCCACCGTGTCGATCCCACTGGAGAATTCGGATATGCGCAGGACCACGCGTAGCCGCGCCAAGAATCTGCACCTGGACCCAACGGCGGTGGCGACGGCGGCGGCGGCGAGCTCCATCGTGGCGACGCCGACGACGCCGGTCACCCCCAACTCGCACGGCTCCGGTCTCTCGCTGACGCTGAGGAAATCTGTAACGGACTCCAACAACACCCTCATCTCTCACTACGACATCGTTAAGACTGACTGCAGCTCAACGTATTCCTCCAAACCGACGATCGAGCCGTTGATCGGACGCGATCAGCCACTGCCAACAACGACTCAAGAGCTGATCGATATACTGTCGAGTGATTCCGACACGAGGCCACCGTTGCCAGCACCGCCGCCACCGCCGCCACCGTCATCCTCACCGCCGCCAGCACCGTCACCGCCGTCGCCGTCGCAGGTAGCCGCGCCGGCGCTAGTCGCTGGAATCGATGACATTGACAATGACAATACGGAGAACGCTGAGGAGACCACGCCGGAGAGCGTTGCGAATCAAGTTGAACATTGCTCCATAGACGTCCCGAGCGACGAGGCCGCGGCCGACGAACTGATCGCGATCGCGCAGCAGCCCGAGGCGTCCGAGCCGGAGGCGGAGCTCGATCCCGAGTCGGAGCCGGAGCTACCGTCGAGCCGCGGCACGACCGACGCCGCCGCCGCCGCAACCGTTGAGATCACGGCGAAGACCCTGGTGGATCAGGATTGGTTCTCGGGCAGTGACGACAGCGAAGGCGCCGGCGGGAACGCCGAGAGCGAGATGCCGCTGCACGTGGCGAGCACAATAATCTCGGAGTCGCAGACCTCGGACCCGCCGTTGACGAGCGTCGTCTCGTCGGCCAAGCCCGCCGCCAAAAAGGGCAGTATCTTCAAGAGCCGCTCGACGGGCGCGACCAACGGGAACAAGAGGCGGGCGTTGTACAAGCACAAGTGGTGCGACAGCGACAAGGAGTCTACCGCCGCGGATACGCCCAACACCGGCAACAGCACGCCGACCACCGCGTCCGGCTCCAGCAGCGTCGGCCCAACGGCGTACGAGGAGGAGTTCGAGTCCTCGCAGCTCACGAGGGTCGTCACTTACCCCGCGGTCGATGCGGACTTCGAGGACGAGGCCGACGCGGTCACCAGCGTTCGCTGCGGCAAGAAAGTTAAAGGGGTGGGTACACCGTGGTCAATTCAGCGATTTTTATCTCGGCTTAATTTATCACTCGTTCCTTTCCAACTGTTCCCTTGGAAAGAGCCAAAGAATGAATTGGAAGTTAGGCGACGCGCGCGTTGATAAAACCGAGCCTTGGAGAATTCGTGATACAAGGGTCTTATTTATTTCATTTCTGTAAACTCTTTTTGTTACAACTTAACGGACCCGATTACTTCCATTTCCAGTTACATAAGACATCAAGCATAAAAATGGCATGTTTTGTAATCACCTTGTATCGACGCATATTTATTTAGCTTTTTCCCTTGCAGTTCTATACTGTAGTAAAGAATGTAAAGAAAGCTCATCAGATACAAGAGAGCGGAGAATTCCAGGAGTTTAACGACGACGTGGAGTATATCTTGGACACACTGAGAGAAAATAATCCGAATGCTACTCGTTGCCTTTCAGCCATACGATTAGCAAGTAAATGTATGGCTCCTGCATTTCGTATGCACGTGCGTGCTCATGGAACTGTTGCCAAGTTTTTTAAAGCTCTTCATGATGCAACTAAAGATCAGGTATAGACACGTTCGCGCAAAGTTCTATCCGTTTCCACGTTATCCGCGCACGTTACGTGTCGCGCAAATGCCTCGCTTATTAATGTAATTTTCCAACGCGTATTTATAATCGATCACACGTTGACATGAATTATCGCTATTTGCAGAGCCTCGGTCTGTGCACAGCCACAGTAATGTTTGTGTTAAGTCAAGATCGCCTGGCTATGGATCTTGATCGCGATTGTTTGGAGTTAATGTTAAGTCTATTAGAATCCGACGCCAGTCACAAGGATGCTCTCGACGACTGTGGTCTCAGTCATGCCGAATTATTGAAAAATAAGGAAAAAGTGCGTCAGTTGTGCGCCGATATACAAGCTCAAGGACACGCCAAGCATCTAAATCTAGACAATATCACCGTAAGCAATTTCTCACGACATTTATTCTCGTGTGCACGCGCAATTTAGATTTGCGTCACCCTGCCGTTCCCATTCCCGAATAACTCGACGATACGCCGCTTTCAACAGGTCGGTCAGCTCGCCATGGAGACGCTCTTGAGTCTTACGTCAAAGCGCGCTGGAGAATGGTTCAAGGAAGAATTACGAGAGTTGGGTGGCTTGGAGCACATTGTAAAGACAATCCGAGAGTGTCATCGTCATATTAACGGCCAGAATGTTTTAAGATCTGGCTGGACAGATCCTTTATTAGACAAATTACGTAAAGTTGACAGATGTTTGCGCGTCTTAGAAAATGTAAGTGCCCCTTCTTCTTCTTTTTGTTGTCTTTCCCTGCTCTTGCACGCGCGCTGTGTCACAAAGAAGAACGACTAACCGACTAACGAGGAGTGGCTAAATGTCGTTGCTTTCAGGTAACTCATATGAACGAGGAGAACCAGGTGTATTTATTAAAGTACGAGGAAGGAGTATTAGTAAGCACGTTAGCTAGTTTGTATCATCTGTGTGGACAAGAGATTCCCATTTATCCGACAACGGATCCAAGCGATAAGAGTTCCACCGGTGCTGTTGTTAGAGAATGTCTTTTTGCAATTATTAAAGTTCTCATCAATCTTACCCATCGGTTTAATGGACAATGTAAGATATTGATATTAAGTAGTCTCTACGAGTTATTCTACTCGTTAACTTGTGCGATCTCTTATAGCAGAGCTGTTCGCCCTAAAATAATGTGTATATATATTTTTTTTATGTAGCCTTTGGTAGCAAATCAGTTGGCGCACAAATTGGCGTTTTGGATCGTAGCTTGTTTCTTTTATTACGCGTGCCTGAATCACTCCCGGAAGAAAAGCGGTTTGACATGATGATGTTGGCATTAATCCTCTTGATAAATTTGGTAGAGCAGTGCGACGATAACAAGCAACTTCTTATTGACTCGAGGGCACCTCCGTTGTCAGAGAATATTTTCGATGGTAGGTATCGCTTCCTTTTCGGCGCACGTGAGTCGTAAAGATCGTTGTTTCTATCTGCATAATTTCAGCGGATGAAAGCGGCGTGGCGTCGTTGATCCATTTGTTTTACAAACAAGAGGAACTTGCGCGTGCCGAGGAACAAAAAACGGACGCGATCCTGGACGGAAAGAAAGATTCCGAGCAAACAGAAACTGTGTCGACTACCACTAAATCTCAGGAAGAATTTATCGAGGAGACCGTCACAAAATGTTCGTATCACGTTTGCTTCCGTATCTTTAGACATGTTCAACATTGCACAAAGTTTGTTACATACTAATAATCCATAACACAGTCGCGCATTTTAAAGAAGTCGTCTCTTAACGATATGCTTTGTCAACAAAATTACAGTACTTATCGCTCTATATCGTTTATCAAGTACTAGCAATTTTTGTTAAAAAATTCCATTCTTATATACATTTAACATTAGAAGCAATCGACAAAGGTCTTTCAAGAATCTTATTGAAGAAGAGGCAAATCTGCGTGTTCTATTGAAACCAGATGCTTTGGTGACTCATTTACCAGAATCAAGATGCATTAGTGATTTATGATTATTTCACAGTGTTACAGAAAGCTGGACGACATATGGAACATACGCTGATCGGATCATATGTAGTACTGTTACTTGGATACTTAATAATGGATAACAAGGTAAACCCGATTGTACGATTGATCCTTTTGTTACACATCTCGTCTTAATACATTTAGGGCCAGTTTCACAGACGTCGGTTAACTGTTAGCCAGAGTTCAGTCAACTCCCTATCTTTTTCTATCTTAGATAATTCTTCGGTTAGCAGTTAACCGACGTTTGTGTAACTCGCCCTCAAGGGATAGGCGCGGCTCTTTTATCCTAAAGTAAATTTTTTCCTCTCTGTTGTCCAGGAGTACGAGTCGCTGGTACGAAGTAGACTACCGGACAAGAACTTCGCCACTATGGTATCTGTACTTCAAAAGTTCTTCAACTTCATGAATCTGACGGCATCGGTAAGTGCCCGTCGTGTAGAATATCTTACGATTGCATTCCTATGTAGGGTACACCGTGACTTTTATATTCGCGCGCGTTTTGCTTGACAGAACGAAGTGAGTAGTTGCGGAATCGCCGCTACCGAGAAGGTAATCAAGTTCCTAAAGATGTCGGATGCCAGAATCGAGGAGGAGAAGAATGAGTTACCATTGCCAGCGTTAGACGACACCAACACGATGCTTGACTTAACTTCATCTTGATCGATATGTTATGCATACACCTGACAGCATTTCTTTCATCTGGCGTACACGAAGAGCCAAAGTTGTATTTTTTTCTGTCTGACGGGGAAGAAATTCATTTTATTACGATACGAATGGATACTTGTTTCATATTCGTATATTTTGATACATATTTATTCACTTACGTAATTTATTGTAGGTTTCATTATTATTGATTACCGGTTTTTTTTCTCTCTCCCTTCTTATTTACAATATGAAAGTTAGTTTGTATTTTCTAGTTTTTAAGTAAAAAAAAATAGGATAGCTCCGAATTATGTGTAGGGACACATCTTGTAATTATAATTGCAGGGCACTTACATCGCAATTACATCGTTATACTGTCTACACGATATCACTAATAATTCGAATTAACGAAGCAGTCATTTTCATTTAAAACTCGAGAGACTGCCAAGAAGGATAAAAAAAACGACGCGATAAGCTTCTTGCCAGCCTATACCTGATTTTCTCCATGTTTACGAGATCTTGACATTGTACAATCGACTTTTTAACACAAAGATAAAAAGTATCTAATACGTTTTAAAACCTTGTTAAGTGATCGAGCAGCATCAGTCACGTTGTACGTTGTGACCGGCTGAAATGCAAGCTAGCATTTTCTTCTTTCACTTCCCTTTTTTTTTATGTATGTAAGGTTCTTTTAATATTAAAATTATATTATGGCATAAGTCTTGTAAATGTAAATTTATAAATTATAATTGTATCTTATATCCGCAGTTTCGAATTATTGGATCCCATTTAGCGCTAAATACAAACGTAAGACGGATTACACGGTTGGATAGACGAGGCGAGGGTACGAGGAGCATTCACGCATTCTACACAGTAAAAAAAAAAAGATTCAAAGGGAGCAGGACACGCACGTAATACGTTGTTACATTTGTAGCGAAAATCGCCGTGGGGCGCACATATGAAGAATCTATGTAGAATAAAATACCTTTTTTAAATATACACGTTAAGTATGTTGTGAATTACATTTGTCCCGTTTACGTAGGATCGTGCGACAAAGGGTCTCGTTAATTTCTGACGGCTACTTTTTTTTTACGCGAAAATGACGTCACATCGCAGGATTCTGCAATTGCATAATGTGTTCCCGCTCTCCCCTTCCTCCGGATTCCACAGAGAACATTATTATCCCTCCCCCTCCCGCTCATCTTCGCGAGAACCTCTGCTAATTACTCGAGAACGTCGCACATGCGCAAACGAGGGAGAAAGCGTCGTCGCGTCTCGACCTAACCACGTGGTTCCGTCGCGTACACACGCAACGGAATTGTATCGCGGAATCTCGTGAGAATGAACGCGATTTGGAATCAGCCCGTTCTGGAGCGGCCGCCGTGCGTGACGTGGCAGATCGGGCCGCTAGACGCGACCAAGAGTGGTACAGTTGTCCTCCTTTTATTGTTTTGTTTTCCCAGCGCGCACGTCCACGTGGCCCTCGCGGCACGTGGTCCTCGCGCGTTCCCCGCCCCCAAGCGTGGCTGCAGCTTTGTTTCTGCTGAGAGCGTTACTTATTTCGCGACGAGGACAATGAAACGCGAAATTTCACTGTTTACGATACGAGGAATAAAAGAACGTCTGTCTTGTCGTCCTCGTTGTCTTTCTGTCGCTACATAACCTCACAAGTTGAACTCCTTGCGAACGTGTTGAGGAAACGCGGGGATTTTTTTCTATTAATTTTGTAATTCCTGCTGCCCGAAGATGATGCGTCGTCGGGTGGAGAAATGGAGATTTGTTAGTCGAAGACTTGTCGCTTGGCATAAAATCTGTGCTCTCTAGTTCGTTCTCTTGCAGGCGTGGACGTACCTCGACTCAAAGCCGCGCTGGCCACGGCGATCCACGACCTGGAATCGATGGGCGATCTGCATTTGAACGCCGCGGCGCTGACCCGCCTGGTTTATCGGATGAAGAGCAAGTTCCGAGGTGACAAGGGCTTGAAGTGCATGACGAAGCTGAACAAGGCGTTGCTCAACTACTACAACATGCCCCTGAAGAGGGAGTACACGATGCTGCGGTGTGACCTCCGTATGCAAGACGGCGCGTACGTGTTACCGAGTCGGCAGGGCCTGGAGTACGTGCTGGTGAGAACGCAGGGCTTCGCCAAGCTCATGTCCCGAATCGAGCAAGTCGCGTGGCGCGCCTCGCACTTCTTGAAAGCCAGAATCGAGCTGGGTCACGCGTGGAGCGTCGCCCTGGTCGCCTACGCCACCACAAGCAGAATTTGGTATTGTCCCTGGTAATGATTCGTTGCGAGTTCGTTATTCTCTTTCGTACGTACAGTCGCGCGCATTTCCATGCAGGTTCCACGCGAGGAATGTCATCGGGAAATGTTGCAAGTGGTACAACGAGCTGTATCAGTGCGCGGAACGGTTTCAGTACGTCGGCGCGAAACCCTGGCTCCCAGCGGATCAAGGCTTACCTCGCGACTTGAAGTCGTGGCTCTGTTTAGACTGGCTGGATGCGGAAGTGACAAGGTAAACTTGCAGTTATTTAGTTCTTTTAATTGACATTATAAAACGAATTCTAAAGTGTTTTACGATTCATTAGCAGCCACAAGTTACAAACCTGGCAGAGAATATTTCAAGATCCTTTGATCAAGGGTATCGTACACGATGATACTAAAACACCTCGTGTCATAGCTGATGAAGAGACTGACAATGCAAGACTGACGGAAGTCGAGGTTGCCTCGACGAATGATGCGTTAGAAAATAAATGTGTATCGAATAACGATATTGGAGGTACGTACCGATTAGACCGACGTTATGAAATACTAAAATAGGATTTGGGCAAGTGAATTGAATTTTATCAAGTTTACATTTAAGTATCTTACCGTTTTAATCGGCAGAGGTAAGTTGCATCTTTTACGAGAAAGAAGTATCCTATTTACAGATCAAATGGAACTCGTAAAGAAAATCCCCATTGTCGTGATCGCTTGTAAAATTACGTGTAGAATAAAGAATAGTAATTGAGAAATTTTACATATAGAATATATTGCTGTAATTTACATGCAATTAGTAACGAACTAACATTTATTGTAAAGAATTATAATTTGTTATTCTCTCTAGGGGTTTGATTTAAGCTCTCCTATTTTATTCCGTAGCGTTATTGATTGTAACCAAAGTGTGATTACGTTGGCGCAGTTTGATTTGATATCTCAAATCTTTATTTTTTTCCTCTGTCGTTACACAAATAATTAAAGACAATTAAATACTTAGATCTAAACTTGATAAAACTTAAAGCAGCATACTCTATAGCTAACATACAGATGAACAGGCAAGAGGGATTTTTTTTCTACATGTTCTTATATACCACTTAATTTTTTTATCCTGTAGAAGTGATAGATCGAGGAGCTTTTGAGAGAACCCTTCCATCGGGAAATAGATCCAAAGCGACAAAACGTAAACACACGGATGTTAACGAAAGGAGAAACCTAAAAGGACCAAAAAGAAAAAGAAGAAAGAATAAAAACCGACATCCCAAGGAGAAAGATCTGTTGTGATTATAATGGGGATATTAATTTAGTTACGTGCAAGGTAACAGATTCAGTTTTAGCGCGTTTGCATAAAATACAATTGCCAATCTGTACACAATTATGAATAGGGCAATTTAATTATGTGCAATTAAAAAAAACACCCTGTTAAATTATGCATGACGCATATGTCACATTGTAATGTAATTGTATACATCTAAAGTGATACACAGCTTGACAAATAGAAACTAAAAGTTCAAAGGAATAAAATTTACATATTTTTTCAATAAAGATCCTTTTGTCTCAACACATGAGTATACATTACGTCGTGTGCATATCCGTCACTCGATTCCCTTACCGGAGCTAACTGATCGAGAATGTATGTTCTTGGGTATAAAATTGGGCGACACAGAGACTCTTGTAACGCGCAAAGAATCATACCCGAGTGGCTGCTGCTGAGTAACACCTTTAATTTGAATTACGGGCATCGACAAGCGTGTTATCGAAGGGAAGAGATGGGAGGGAGGTAGCGGGAGAAATCAAAGGCGGCATGTAACTTCGGTCGAACGGTGTGCTTGGATTAAATAACATTGAGCAGTAAACTGGCTTGTATCGTGGGATTTTCCATAATTGTGTGGGGTGTGTACGGTGCGATGATTAAGCGTCGTAGGCCGGGTAAAGGTGGACCGCGTATCTCCGCGGTCTCCAGAATCTCAGGCCGAAGAAGTCGGAATGTCTCTTCCGCATGTTGTTGAAGCAGCAGGCGCGGAACTGCCGGGTGCCGCATATGTCGGCGCACTCCCGTCCGCACTGATCGCAGGGAACGGTCTCGCCGAAGCTCCATAACGCGCATACTGTGATAAGACAGGTCAGATTGTTAAACTATAAAAATCGTACCAGATTAATAATCACACACACCATTGCTGTCTCTGTTTTAAATAAAAATCTTATACTTAAAAGTTGATTTTCGTAGCATATCGTCAATATGTTAAGTATAATGATTTTTATTTTAATGTTTCTTTCTTTCGGCGAGTCATTGTATGTTATCTGCCGTAGAAGGTAATTAACTTGATGTTGCACACGTCAAAGTCAAATGGCAGATATACTGCTGCATTTTCTCACTAAAAAGACGCGAAAAGATGTAATGGAGACGATCAATATATAGAATGCAATTTTTATCGCACGTCGCGACGCGCCGGCTGGATGAGAGGGAAAGTTGTAAAGTGCGGAAAAATTTTAATATAAGTGCAAGAGTATATATAACGCGATGCATTTATGGATGCGACGGCAAAGCTGTCGATGCCTGGTAATGAATGTCAATCAAGTAATTACAACTTACGATCGTATTATGCAGACCAATGCATATCTTTACGGAATTTTCTTTAACTTTTGGAATTTTTTATTCTGGACCATCATTACCGTGGACCGATCATTTCAGTGGTCAATTCCTTAATTTAACAACTCCATGTTAGAAGCATTGATAATAACGTTAAAAAATTTTTAATAAATCTTATTATCTACTAATATTATTTGTTTCCAGTAAACCTTATATTTAGAAAAGTGCGTGAATCATATCTATACTTTTGCACAAATAAAAACTTAAATAAACAAAATATTTTCATGAATATCATTTAATTACGAAGCGCAGATATGAAACGCGAGGAAAAGTTTCAAAAGTCTAACATATTTTATTTATAATTCGTTTTAATATGTGCAATGGAGACCAGTTTAATTTACATAAATTAAAGTTCGGAATTATTGTGTCTTACTTTTTTAACGTAATTCCGAAATATTAATATTTCGCCTCAATTTTTTTCGGTGCTTGTCAATTTGTTTCTCCAAACATGTACAAACTAATATATATCGTACTTTTATTTTAATATTACTTAATTTGTCCCTTTGTAATATTTGTTCTAATGTGTTTTCAAGTAACCGCGGTAAGACACAATTCTCGTTAGTCCACCGTTACGCAGATCAGCCTAACAAAATCTTAATAAAAAGCTTAAACTTCATTATGTCCAAAGTAGCGTAAATTGCGGAGGCAGTGAACGACTAGAAAACTATTTTTACCATAAACTGCAATAGCTCGCTGTTTCTAAGAGATCAACGTGAAATCCAGCAATACTACTTCGTGCTGGAGGATCGCTGATCCGATTATCCCGTAGACACAAAAGAAGCTATACGCACCGTAATTATTAATTTCACTTAGCTTCCCTTTGAAATGTCAGCTATTTGTAATTAGCGCACTTGATTGCAACAAGTATTACGCGCGATATTATGTGAGATTCCATCTCTCTAAAAATTTTGTAAAATAAGAAAGCAAGCGAAGAAATTGGAATTTCTCTGATATACGAGTGTTTCGAAATTGGAATTTCTCTGATATACGAGTGTTTCGAAATTTCAAATAATATTTAAGTACATATGCAACAAATAAATGAAACATCCCAGATAACATACTTGTCTAAAAGACATCTTCAAGACTTCTTTAAAACCTCTTTAAGATATTTTTTAGACGTGTATGTCTAAAAGATGTCTAAAAGACGTGTTAAAGACATGCATGTTATCTGGGATATTTACTATTAGGATGGATGTTATATTAATCCTGTTAAACTCATCTTCAGTATCATACAAATACGTTGCAATTATTCGAACAAGAATTAGAATCTCTTATAAGCAAAACCAATATAAAGAGAGGTAAAATTTCTGCAACAAGTTTTCAAAGCTTTTGAACAGTCAAGTAAAAATGTTTGTTAACCAAGTAATTGGTAACATGGAAAAAGGAAGTAAAAAGGCATTTAGAGTAATATAATTTAGAATGCATACGTAATAAAAAGAGATTACATTACCTGCGACAAAAAGTATTATCCAAGAGTGATTCATTTTTATGAAGTATCCGCAATTAACACGACGACGCAAGCTTCGCACGACGATAAGCCTGATGACTTCAGTTGCGGACGTGGACACTGTAGTTAAACAATGAAAATATGTTAGCGACAATTTGACATGCAAAAGAATTTTGAAAATATCGCCATTAATCGTCAGTGAAATTTCAGCGAAATGTAACATGTCTTGAACAACGCTCTAATACACGAGTGTACGAGTATTAATTTATATTCCATTATTTCTTTAACTTTGATTCGAACTAATGAGAATATTCTTAAAAGTCGCCAACAGTAATTAACAACATCGGTGATTTGTATTAACTGTATATCTGGCAATTTTAATAATACAGAAAATTTATTAACGATATTATCAAAACACGATTACTTCATTTCCACGTGACAAGAGGTTCATACATTAAATAAAAGTAAAATCGACTGCTACATAATCTTAGGAATTATAAAACTTTTTAACGGATTTTCGATCGACGTACAATACATTACAAAGTTAATTGGAAGTAACGTTACAAATAAGAAAATCGAAAATATATAATTTTGACAATTACACGTATACTGACATTGTATTGGAATCTAGCGATAAGTGAGATGCTATCACAAATCGGTACAGATTATTGAGAGAATTCCGCAGGGGGTGGTTACTTACCCTCTACAGGTGAGCGCCGGGAAGCGAATGATAATCTTGAGGGGTGCCGCTACTTCTAGATATCATCCCCACTATCCAAGATTATCTCTCCCACCCCCAACGCACGCAAACGCTTTGTCGGTTCGATATAGCGACGTACGCAGAACGTTAAACAGATCATTAAAGCTTTTGGGAAAATGAGAAAGCGGACTAAATAGATGATCAATTTAAGTTAAAGTGCTTTTATTTGTTCTTTTTTTTCAGAACTAAAAGGGTCGATGCTCGAGCTTCAAAATTAAAGTACATTAAATACCGGTTTATTTCTCCGGAGCACAATTTATTAAACCAGTCTACTTTAGTACTATGTGAATATTAATCTAAGAATGATAATATAAAGGACATCGACAAGCAACATCGCGTAATGCCTCCCTTGTGAAACATTTGTGCGATAGGGTAGTAATTGCGCTGAAACATACAGAAGGAATATCTGTTTAATAAACATCCTGTTTACTCGATAAATTATTAAAAGGAAAAAACGGCTTGCTCGAAACTCTAAGAGTTTAGGCGCGTCTATCCCCGATAAAACCATCATAAAAGTTTTGTTAAGCCTACAATATTAATACAATATTCATAATTGATCGACGACGTTAGAAAAGAGTACTTTGCCGCCGCGATCTCGATAACAAGATAGATTTCTATTTTATTTCTTCCCGTTTCGTAAGTTTAACCCGACGCAACGCAGACTTAATAAATCAACGGTAACGCACGCTCGCGTTAAAGTGCAGTGTCTGTCGCATTGGAACGATTCGAACTGGGGTAGTAGACGATCCGCTCCCGGCGCTTGTACTCCGTTTCGGGAATCGACATCTCGCACTCGACCACGGCGGGATCTAGCGTGTCCTCGACGACGACGTCCAGCGACGTTCGTGGGTCACCCTTGTACCAGTCCGCCGTGGATCCCCGATCGCCCCCGCGATCGTCGCTCTCGATGCCCTCGACGTAGAGCTTCAACGACGGCCGTGGTCGCGCGCCCATGACCACGCACGTTAAATTCACGTGGGTCTCGTTGAAGGGGTAGATGCGCACCGTCATGTCGCTTTCCGGCACTTGAAGATAAAGAGCAGTTAATTCGATTAGTTAATTCTGAATTAAATTTCGTGGCTACCCTAGAGAAAAAGTATACAGAAGTTATACACAATTTCTGTATGCGTATAGCAGAGTTTCTATATCCGTATATTGAATATGTATATCCTATTATTCTGTGTATACTTTTTCTCTAGGGTATAACAAATCCTCCCGTAAACTTGCCATAAACGATCATCCTCGTCGAGTTGCTCGCCTCGTCCTGGAACGTGCTGATCGCGCACGTGAACTCCCCCGTCATGTCTATCGTGACGGTCTTCAATCGTATCACCGAACGCGAATACGGATCCTTCAGATTTTCAACTGGATATTCCGCGAGTCCTTCGATGATTCCGATATCTTGCGGCGGTACTGATAACATAAATTGGTATGGTAACATAAAAAAAAAGCACTCGTCACGACAGGTCGAATTTAGTTTGACAAAATATGGGGTAATTTTAAGTAATAAAGAAGAGTTTCGTTAAGTAGAATAAAATTATAATATATTCGCTTGTGCGAATATATTAGCGAAATTTGAAGACAAAATGTCACTCTTTTTTCAATAAGATATAATTGATGAAGATTACAGTGCAATTTTAGGGTAAAATTTTACAAGTTTTTCCAATGAGATGTAATCGATCAAGATTAATCAACTCGGAGATTAATCAAGATATAAAAATGAATCAAGATCTCTAAAACTTATTATACTTGGAAAATGTTAAAAGTTATTACTTGGTTATTTTGCAACTCCTTTTTCTCATTCAGTATCATTAAACTCCTCGTGGGAATAATCAGTAAAAGTTTTCTGATGTTATTGTATAATATTGTATAATACGTAATTTGCAATAATTCCTCCTCGAGCGTCACACGCAGCTCGCGCGCGTGAAAAAAGTCGTCTCTTAAAAAGAAAAAAAAACCATAATCGCAAAAAGTTACAGACCGTCAAGTTAAAAATCCAAGTATCTTTCCACGCGCCTTCTGACGCGAGCGAATCGCTACGGCGTCTCGTCGCGAATCGGACCTTTACATAATCGCTGATTTTTATTTTCTTGCTCATTAGAGTCTCGCACTGTGCAACTTGGAGCTGCGACATTTTCTCTTCCCACGGTCGATTCGCGCCGCGTCGTTTCAATACGTCTCGCGATATCCTCGCGACAGCTCCTGGATGGCAACGCAGCCTGCCGATAAGGCAAATTTAATAACGCGCAGATATACGCAGCGAGCCGACGTTGTAAGTTATAATGAGATCACCGTGGGCGGCGAAAGTGTAAATTACTTGGTGGGATCCACTGATAGATCTGATACGCTTCGTGAAACCATTTGATTACAAGTCCGTTCTCGTCCTCGTCAATCTCGTAGGCGCAGATCAAATCCACCGGTCCGGTGCCGTTGCGCACGGCGAGCGGCACGTCCAAGGACCTTATCGAGGTGCCGCGGGCCCCTGCGAAACATATATTTCGACAATACAATCGCACGAACATACGGCTTTGCGCCGCGACTCGTTAGTTAACGACGAATCAATAAATCCTCGACGATTATACCGATTAAAAACCGATTATTCATTCGCCAAGATCCCGGAGATCTTTCCAAGCTCGTCACGCAATTTTTACCCCGACTTATTCTTAGACCTACAATTTCTTTAATTACACAGCGACAATTATGGATCGACGGGGAACGTGTGCCTGAAAATTAGGGGGAAATAAGGGGAAAAATTAGGGGGAAATAAGACGAGACTTCCGGGGCCGCGGAGGGAAAATATTAAGTTACAACGAGGGCGTCGGATAAGAGCTAAAGGAAAATTTTTTTAGGGAACAGAAATTACACGTTGCGTCTCTCTCTCTCTCTCTCTCTCTCCCTCTCTCTCGAGAATATCGCTCAGCCGTATTCGTCCCCGATCGAGAAACGTTTGCGAATCCACGGACCGAGTTTACGCAGCACTTGCCGTTCGAACGGGAGCGTGAATCCCGCGGGTCGCGTCTCTCACTCACCCGAGTAACATTCGAATATTAGGAGAACGATTATCGAGGGCGAGACCGTGCGTGCTATCGACGGCATTCTTTCCAAGGTCCCTTTTCACACTGGTGCACAATTAAATACGGCTCGACTAACTCATAGAGTCTACACCATAGCCGATAGGATTCTGCGCAGCGTCATGTATCGGCCACCCTCGTGCCTTGCACGTCGTCCCGCCGCGTCTGATCGACGCTTCTGCATCGCGGGCCGTCTCACGTAGTGGCGAACGATTCGGAGATGGGAGCCTAGGATGATCCTCGAACCAAGAGGAGGCTGTTCATCTCTTCTTTCGAGTTTAACATGTACAATATGTCTCTGTGAATCGTCGGTGAACATTATTCTTCTTGGCGAACTTCAATAGAGTCTTTTAAAATCGCTATTTTGACTAAAGATATACATTCCTTTCTTATTTATATATGTAAGTGAATAAAAAATATATAGAAACTCACCGAGAAATTATATGAATACTCTCGTCATTGATCGGCAGCAATGGCCGGCTTCCGCGACTATTTTTTAAATCTGAAAAAACAAAAAAGAGATGTAGAATTTCTCTTCAGAAAAACATTTGACTGCACATATGTTAATTTTTATATACAAATATCTATAATAAGAAACAGTATTTTATTATATTACATTATAAAATATCGTCAGTTGCTGCTTGTACGAATCGAGAGATCGAAAACTATAGCCGTTTCGGCCCCATTTCACCAAACGTCGCTTAACTTTAATCTCCCAATTAGTTTAATTCATTTTTGTCTCTTTCTAAAATAACAGTTGGAAGGAGACAAAGAACGTATTGAGCTAAGCTTAAAGTTAAATAACGTTGATGAAACTGGGCCTTGGTCGAAATATAAATAATTTTTGAGACAATCCGTCGCGACAAAACGGAAAAGAGTTACTTATCCAAGACTGTAAGCAAAAGGTATATTAAGAAAGAAATTCATATTTGGACGCGAGGGAGGAATTTATAAGCGTCCGAGGCGAGAAGCGGCGTCCAACGTTAAACCGCAACGGCGCGCGCCAACGAGAATACTAATGTAATTCGTTTTATCGCAAAACTTGGCAGGACGCGTCGAAACGATCAATCGGACGAGAGGCGTAGCGTTCCGCGGCCTGCGAGAGCGTCGATCGAGTTAACTCGAGCTGGAACGGCGATTCAATCGCGGTAATTGTCGAGTCGCGCGTCGCTCGATCGTAGGTGCCATTTCTCTCTTTCTTTCTGTCCCAATGAGGGCCACTGTTTCCAACGTCTGTTAATTCCAACGGACTGTTAACTTTTAATTGCCATTGGCTATTCAAGGGCTCTATTCATTGGCTAAGAGCCACGCGAAGGCCAATCGACTTGCAGCTTTTCTGTAAGAAATTGACTAATCACAGTCGCGTATTCTACTCATACTTGACCGTGATTGGTTAGTTTCTTAAGGCTTAGGGCTTAAAGGCCGGGTTGCACCAACGTCACACAATTTTAACTGTAGCTTAAGTCCCAGTCTACAATAGAGGATTTAAGCCCTATGCTTTAAGAAATTGACCAATCACGGTCAAGTACGAGTAGAATACGCGATTGTGATTAGTCAATTTCTTAAGGCTTAAGGTTTAAATCTCTATTGTAGACTGGGACTAATTCTACTGCCCATACAGCACCAAAGCTTTCAGAAACATTTCAGAAAACATTGTTGCAATGTTGCAATGTTTCTGAAATGTTTCTGAAAGCTTCGGTGCTGTATGGGTGTTTTCCTTAAGTCCCAGTCTACAATAGAGATTTAAACCCTAAGTCCCAGTCTACAATAGAGATTTAAGCCCTAAGCCTTAGTCCCAGTCTACAATAAATGATTTAAGCCCTAAGCTTTAAGAAATTGGCCAATCACGGTCAAGTATGAGTAGAATGCGCGACTGTCATTAGTCAATTTCTTAAGGCTTAGGGCTTAAATCTCTATTGTAGACTGGGACTTAAGAAATT